GTAATTGAATGCTTGTGTTCTGCTATTAGACAAATTTGAGTTCACATACAGCCCCGGTACTTAGTACCCAGCTGACCTAACAATTTTCCTTAAGCTTCAAGTTTTTCCTCTATAAAATAAATATAATATTATTTATCTCACAGGGTTGTTGCTATGATAAAAAGTGCTATGTGAAGGAATGTAGTAAGACTTAGAAAATGGTAGTTATTAATATTGTTATTACTACTAAAGAACAGCTTAAATATAATTAAGTAAAATTTCTTATTCCATATTGAGGATATAATGAATAGAAAAGGGATGGGTCAAATGTAGGTAAACCACAGCAGAGTTTCTGCAGGAAGAAGATTTTAAAATTTAAAGGTGTAATGCAAATGGAAGTTGTAGAAGGGACAAAAAATACTGCAGGAAGAAATAATGATACCAGGTCAGATAAATAACCCTGAGGTATACTGAAGGAGGGACAACACAATAATGCAGAGAAATAATGGTGGGAGAGCAGGCAGAGTCACCAAGATGAGACATGGACCCCAGCGAACGCTCTTGAGTCATGACATAAAGTGAGTATTGAAGATTTCTCACCTAGTTGTGTATAGGATCCTTTGAAGCAGGAAGAGATTTGAAGGCAGAGAAAACAAATAAGAAAGGCTGCAGTAATTCAGGAAGTGCGTGTGGATATTAGGGGCCGTCCCTTACAAATGCTAACAAGCTAATGCTAAATGAGTTGACTTTGGCAATTTTTTTGGAGTGTTATTAACACTTGCTGATGAACAGCCCCTTATTGACTGAAGTTGAAGCAACCAGAAAAACAGCTTTCCTTGAGAAAGCCTCGCAGTGAGTTAATGGCCAATCCCAAAGGAGAGAAGAGTAAGCACTTTTCAAGCATTTGCTGATCAAGACTTTTGCATATCTGAGCTCCTGCACTTCAAAGAGGACTTCCCGCTGGGTTTGCTCACCCCTTTCACTAAGTCCTTGAGTTTAAGGACAGGAGAAGTTCCTGTAGGTGGAGAATTTCGAATAGTCAGAAGGTGCATTCAGGCCAATATAGCTGTTCTTCCTATTAGAAAATGATGCAGCTGGAGTGTTATTAATTGAGCAAAAATACTGTCTACCTGGAGCCCAGTGACCTTCACCAGTGGTTGCACACTTGGCAGGTATCAGAATTCAAATGTGAAGTACCTTATGGCTATCCTGAAAGACTAGGATCCAAAGGGCAAAAGTCCCTTCACCAAGAGGTCAGGCCACTAAGGTCAGGATGCCCAGGACTGGGTCACAAGGGTCAGAAAGCCCTGCCAACAAGACTTCGACCAGAGTGTGGAATTAGAAGAAACCCCTGGGTGAGGGTGTAACAGGAGAAATATAAACAGGCTTATCTTCCAGGGTCAAAGAAGTACGGGCCATGAAATCTGGCAAACCTAAATGTGTTTGGAAAGACACTTTTAAATTTAAGTGCCGTTAATAAGAATTTGACATATTTCAGAGCAATAAAAGTGTGCTTCTGTCCTCCTAAGGCCCAAGGTGTCAATTTTATTGTTTGCCGCGTATAGTCATGACCAATCCCACTAATGCCATTTTCTCTGTGTTGTGCTTAGAAGTGACTTTATTCTTTAGAAGCTGAATCTGAAAAATGATGACATTAAGACTCAAGGGCCAACAATTTCCTAGCATTGTGTTCCACATATTTGCAGAGGCCAAAATGAAGCATTAATTACCTTAAGGCGTTATCTTGAGATATGCGAAAAATGCATTTAAAACAGTTTTTGTCTGAAGCTTTAACTACTTCTACTCTTTTTCAAAATTATTTAGAGAAACTGATAAAGTATCTTAATGTTAGGTCTATTCTACTTCATTTCATATTTTTATTCTGAAAGTTACAGGACCAAAGGATTTGATATAGACCATCATTTGGAATCACTCATTAGCAAAATAGCCAAATGGAGGTTTACAATAAAAAACGCCAGACATATACTACGTTTTTCTTTTAATACACTGGTCAATGATAGCTTTTAATAGGAAAACCTTACATTTTAGGATGCTTTTTAATATATATTATTCCATTTGATGTTCACTAGACACAATATACGATGCATAAATACTCAAGTTAATTGTGAAATATTTTTGGTATCAGATGGCACTTAGACAAATTAAAGACAATGAACCATATTTCCCTTTTTGGCATGTGATTTCAATTAGCCCTAATAAGATTATGTATTTCATTCCATGTGCACTGTATCAAAACTAAATTCATATGACCTAATGTTATTAAAGTGTTATCATCTTTGGCTCCTCTATCCTCTGGAGTGTACTAGGTACCATGCAGAATATTGCAAGTTTGCATAATACAGAACAGCAGTGTAAACGTTGAGCTATAATTCTGTTGTCTTTTCAAGGTATACCGCAGTCGGACTAATGACTATATATCTCAGCGTTAGCAAGATCCAATTTTCTCCTCTAAGCTAAAAAGTCACTCTCAAGATTTAAACTTTCATTTTATAAAATTATTCCCTTAAAAATACATCAGAAACATCAAGACTGTAAAATAACAAAAATGAGTGGCCATAGACAAAATCGTTGCCGTATAATGAACTGATGTTTCATTAATCACTGTTTTAAACGGTGCATTCTGATTTGTGTGTGACTTCCAGTGTAGTATATTGACTGCTGAAAGTTGCATGTGATGGTTAATTTAATATTTCACCACAAGAAGAAAAGTTGATATTTGTAAGGGCAAATTAATGATTGATGAGATGGTCCTGAAGATGATGCCCTTATTGTGACAGTCCCTTCTCCAAATGACTTGGAAGACTCCTAAAACCTAGGGTGTTATCTTAAGAAACATGTTTAAAATACTTCCCTTTAGCCAGATGCTGAGGTTTTTTTAGAGTAAAACCAAACACTTGATATGTGCCTTTGTATTGTTTCAGAAGCTCTTTTGGGGTCAGACATCCTCACCCATAATCCTTTATTCACTTGGGATAGTGTGCCACCAAAGCATTCATCATGATTATGCTGTTCAACTCAAATTAGTGAAAATATTTGAAATATTATTTTCTAAAAATTTATGGAATTTTTTTTTTCAGTTTGAAAGAAAGGAGTTTAACTCTGCCATATGAATACATTCAATGTTACCCTAAACTCATATTTAACCTTGTATATATCTAAATGATTTCATCTTCGTAAGATAAGTTCCCAACTCTTCAACTAAGTAAATCTTACTAGCCTGTAAAATACCAATTTAGACCCTTTTCCCTTGAGAAGTTTTACCTAACTACTCACTTCTATTTCAAATAAAACACATATCGCCTATACTAATCATATTTCTAGTCTATACTTTTTTCACATGTGCTGGTATTGCTTCCCCAACTAGATCTCAAACTCATCAATGAGATCAGGGAAGAGAACCAACATTAATTGACCTGTTGTATGCAATGACGTCTGTGACACGCTTTATATATATCTGAGGTAATTGTTTAATATATAAAATCAAAGTTTTACCCTTCTTGTTTGACTTCCAAAAATGCGGGCACAGTTGGTGTTCAAAAAATGCTTGTTCATTTGAAAAATAGTGTTTAAAGTCATTTTCTCTCATAGATGTTATTATTGCTAGTTAATTCTATTAGCCATTATTAAAAGGTCTTTCTTTCTAAGGTTAGCCAATTCATATTCATGAGAATTTGTCTCATGTTTATAAAAGCTAACAATCCAGAGGAAGTATCACGAGGTAAGACAATAACTTCAATTTAATGTGTTTATAAAGTCTTTTACTCTCCCCTCCCTCCCTTCCAGGGTCCTAAGGTGGAAGGAAAAGATTACAGCACATTGTCAAGCCAATTACTAAATTATGAATTCTAGACTAAAAATGCATGTGTTCAAATTCTGTCTCTACTAATTTGAGCAGGTTACTTAAACTTTCTAAAGCCCAATTGTTTTATCTATAAAATGTAGAACACAGTACACATCTCATAGGTATCTGTGAGGATTAAATAAGATTATGTTTACAAAACGCCTGGTCCTTAATAAGCACTCAGTAAATATTAACTATTATTTTATTATTACCTTACTTATAATGTAACACAATCACAGCCTATCCAAATACCTGGGAGAAAACATAACACATACCTCAGACTCTCTCTTCACTCTCATTAACCCAGTGTGAAAACTAAAGTGAGGCACTGTTTATCAGACCAAAGACCAGACTTATATATGCCAACTTTCCCATACTTCATCTTGTCCCTCTTTTCTAGTATAACCCTCTTCTCATACTTGGTCATTCTAGTGCAATCTGTTAATAGAGATAAACCACTCGTATATGAATGGTCCCAGCTATTCCCTTCCTCCTGCTTGCAAAAGAGGATTTGCCCACCCCCTGCCATCTAATGAGAATTCCTCCTTTATCAGATTGGTTCTTCTGAACCTCTGTAATGCAAATTCAAAAGGAAAGCGGTAGGAATAAAAAGCAAACAGAAAACCAAACACATAACAACAACAAAAACAGTGTTCAGACTGTCAAGAGAAAGAGCTTCCAGGAAGTTTTGGGAGTGAGAAGCATGGAGCCACTGCAGGGTGTGAAACAAGAGAAGAAAGAGATTAAGAGGGAATGCTGTGGACCTGTGTTCTTTGTGGCATTCTAGAAATAGAGGTAAAGAAGTTTCATTATTTTGAAATAATTTTTTGGTTTCTGAGTTTTTCTTTAACTATGCTACATTCTGACACTGGCCCATATGGTTCACCGCTTTATAACTATTACCCAAGTTAAGTGCATGACTAAAATGTATTATAAAGTGGGGAAGAAAATTTAGAGATACAAATAGTTGTAGTAATGTAATAGGACAATCCACGTTGCTTAAGTTGACTAATTAGCTTAAAGCTCTGGGCTCCAGCAAGCAACAATCTATGAATCCGCTCAACAGCCTTAAACAGCTCTATTTATTGAGTCATATTACACATTTGCATTTGTAATTTTTCCTACAAATTTAAAAATACTTAATATTTCTCTTCCTTACTTTATATTTTAGCCCACACGTTTCTGTTGCTCTGTCTTCAGGATGATCTTTAAATCCATAAGTACTTTTGGGAAGGTAGTATTTTTCCACAGCAATCATTACCAGCCTTTGGAGTGTTGAGAATGAATGGTCCCTAAGAAACAAACACAGAGTACAGATGCATTATTATCTTAAGAGAATTCTAGACTTGGCTTCTCCCCCTTCTCCTTCTAGTGCTTTTTCCACAAATCCTGCAGTTTATCATCCTAAAAACAAATTTGATTGCAAAAAGGTAGCAGAAAATATGCCACCCCCAAATATGCCATTTTGGCATAAAGATTATCTTGAGCTGAAGACGGATGAGAAAAAGCAGATACAAGAAAAGCTCTCTGCCCTCTCTCTTCTTATCTAACAGTAAGGCATAAATTTGTAAAGGTTTCTCCCTTCCCCTTTCTACCAGGAAGAATGGACGTTAATCACCGGAGACAACTCTAGACCCTTATCAGCCCAGAGACAGCACCAGAGGAACGTACGGAACAAATTTTACTAACTAGCCCTTATCTTTCATTAGCTCCTCCATGTGTTTACCTTCCCACAATTTGAACCCCTAGAAACTCAAAGTCCTTTTTCTTTGTCTTTTTGTTTTTCTAAAAATGTATTGTTCTTGTGTTGAGATGCCATACAAGCCCAAGTTCTAACCACCCCTTTGAGTTAGTCATCACTGGGTACTTCCATGTGTATCCGTAATGCACTTGTTGATAAACTTCTGTTTGTTTTTCTCTTGTTAATCTGTCTCTTGTTAATCTGTCTCTTGTTAGTCTCATTTACAGGGCCTCAGCCAATGAACCTAAAATAAGGAGAGGGAAAACAGTTTTTCTCCTCCACGTTGTCATCCTCATGCTTTAAAACCTCTGTTGGCTTCTTAATATCTATGGAATAAAATCCCATCTCCATAGATGGCTCTTCCCGACTGAGCCAAAACCTGTTTCTTCAATCACTCTTTTCCAAGACTTTCTGGACTGGGTCACACAAAGCTCTTCCCTACCACCTGAAAACACTTTACCCAGGACCTTGGGAAGAGATGCTCTTATATATCCTTTTTCCTCTTTCTAGACTATTCTCTGGAAAAACTTATACTGCTAACTAAACATTTCTTGACCCAGTTCAAGAGTCATCTCTAGGTTATGGCTTTTCCTCAACTTCTGCAGGTAGTGTTAGTACTCCTTGAGTACTAATTTTTTATTACTTCCTTTAACCATGACATAAACCAAAGAGAAAATTCCTTTTACCTCATTTTACAAAAAACAGTTGGGAGCTACAGAATTTGAAGGACTTCTGCAAAGGCAGAACGAGCAAATTTGCCACCATTCCCCTCACAGTCAAGCAATTGCTCCGCCTCTGTTCTCCCGTAAATTTTTATTCATCCCTCTTGCAGTCCTTAGCAGGTAGTATTGAAAATATTTGTCTCAATGCGTCCCCTCTGCAGTTCTAACTGGACTCCTTCCTTAATTAAGGTTTCCACTGTCTCAAGACATGGTATGGTTCTTGGTCTTCAAATGTTTCCTGAGTAAATGAAGCAATCCATCAATGAAAATTTTTCTAATTTAAGAAGGAAAAGGAGCATGAGCCAACATTTAATGAGCACTTCTACTATTTACTAGATATTGTGCTATATTCTACTAAACTTATTCAGATTCAATGAGTTTTATCCAAACTCCCTGTCTTTATCAAAATTTATTTGTATGACATACAACGTAACACAAATGTATAACACTTTAACCAAATGAAGGAAATCTAAACTTACAGAAATTAGATGCTTGCTGAAGATCTATTGTGTAAATTGTTGAAGATGCTGTTCTTATGTATTAATAAAGAAAAAACTCAGTGGCAGCTGACTAAGAATCAGAGCAAAGGAGTTAAGCACAGCCAATTTGTTCTCTACACAGATGTAAACCCAGCAGTCTCCGCATTTCTTTTATTCATGTACTTGGCGGTAAACAGACTCGCCATTCTGCTGTGTGCTCTGTTTTATTTTAGGCTCTTTTGGTGGCAAGTAGCAGACCAGCTCAACCCAGCTTAAGCAAAAAGGAGATTTCATTATAAGAATTCAAGAGGCTCTTACAAACTTCACACCTCTAAAGGAGTTGGCATCAGTAATAAAAGCTGTTAGACAGTGATTCTTTCTGTCTCTCTTTCTCTCTCTGTATATGGTCTCTTAACTCCTTGATTCTCTTTGCCTGTTTCCATCATTCCTCTTTGTCATTTCTCTGTTTCTCTTTCCACAGGGTGGGAGATGGGTGGCTGTCCAACATCCAGGGACATTTTATATGTCACTCATCTCCAGCTATGTTTAGACACTAGATGACTCTGAGTATTAGTTCCTTGGAGAGAGAAATTGATTGGTTCAGTGTGGTCAGGTGTCTACTCTGGCCCAATAATAGCAGTCAAAGTGGCAAAGGTCTTGCAAAAAAAAAAAGGTAGTTAGAGATATGTAGGGGTAAATTTCTCAGAGAATAGGGGTCAGTGTCCTCTGAGCAGATACTCCAATAATCATCCATCCCATACATATTCTTATCCAAAGTTTTCTATATGGAAAGCAGTTAGAGTGTCTGTATGTTACAATTTGATCAGATATTCAAAATACACAATATTGAGAAGAGTCAATTTCTCAATGAGTTTGTAGTAGAGCCAATCCTAAAAATTTAGAACATTATTTTCTAGGCACTAGAAAATCATTAGGGATGTTTGAGTCTATACCTTATCTGGTTGTTATCTAATTTTCTCCACTTTCCCAAATAGATTGATGTTTTCAGTTCAATGTAACTAAAACTAAAGAAAATCTGCAGAAGAAATATCTTTTCTTATTACATTATATTCATGTTTGTGTCATAACAGAGTGGCTGAAAGAAGGTGCATACTCAAATCACTGCAGGACCAAATTAGCAAAATGAACAGTTTTGCTGTGTTCACAGAATGACTGATTAAACCACATAAACCCCAGAGAGGCAGGCTCCAAACAGAAACGTCAGACAGGAGGAGCCCCTGATCTAAGGATGTAATTGGACACAGATGAAGGGTAAGTCAGAGGATGCTCACCCAAGTTCTTCCCTAATGTTGCCTAGTTCAAAATAATTAGCCTCTAGACTTTAAAGACAGAAATGACTATCACATTAAATCTTGTTGTTTTCAATATAAATAAATTGGTAAAAATAAAATCACTCTCAAAAATTGTAAAGTTTCTGGTTTTCTTAAGACAAACAAGCCCTCAAAAGAAGCTGAACAAAAACTCCCACAACTAGTCAATAAACTGAGTGCACACATTCATCTTCTTTTTCTCCCCAAATGCGATTGAAATGACAGTAAGGGTTTTCAAAAGAGAATAAATTGGTAACAACACTGTAAAAGGGGGTGGTAAAGGATAAGAGCGGTGGCTTAAAAAGAAAATGAAAGCAGATGGGGGTCACATGCAAATGCGCCCCCAGGGTGGAGGAAGCCATAAACTCAACAGAATGTACACTCACTGAAGAATGCTGTGCTTCGGGGACGACCCTTCCTCAGGGTAAAGATCTAGAGAAACTCTAAACTAAGGCTCAGCAGATTAGAGAGAAGGAATGGGGTATGGAACTTTGTTAGTCAGGGTCTAAGCAAGAAAACAAAAACCTTTATAGATCTTCCAAACCCAGAGAAATCAATCAGTGCAGTTAATGTGTTATCCTGATGGTGGGAAGAACTAGCAATGCCTGAGAGCTTGAGATGGTGATACAACCCAGAGATTGGCAACAGCCGTGAGTTTCAACCAGCTCTAAGGGTTAGAGGGACCAAAGGACAAAGTAGTGTTACCAGAGCCCAAAGAAGTAGCCATCCAGCAGAAGTTGAAAGAGCGGCAGGCCTGCCCAGTAGAAGCTGAGACGGCAGAAGAAGGGATGGATTGGCAGGATAGGTATGGAAGAAACACCACTTCCTGAAATGCTCCTGAGAAGCTCTTGCTGCCTTAGGACACACAGATAGGGAGCAACACCCTGGCTGCTCTCTTCTACCCACTCTCCAGTCTTCTACCGATGCTTCCCATTGGCTGAACCTAGCCAACTGCCAAGGGAACTTGAGAAATAAGTTTCCTACCATGTGGAGCAGGGCACAAGGATGTCGGGAAATATATCTGAGATCGTACAGCCATGTGAACATCAAGAGACGGTTCTCAGGGAAATCCTTTCTAAAGAAACTAACTCGATTAGAGAAAGGTATGGGCTCCAGAGGCAGTTAATACTCTAGAGCAGAGCCTCATTTTCCTTTTTGTTCCAGGAGTGAGGAGAAGAACATCTTCCTGCCTACCCCTCTCCTCTACATGGTAAAGTGCATCTGCTTTTCTTGACACACAAAATTCCTGGGAAAGAAAACCATCCTTGTATTTATATTCATTAACTGAGTCTTTTGTCCATTAAGTGGACAACCAAAGAATATCATTCATTTGAGGAAAGCTGGGGGATGAAAAAATGGAGGACCAAGATGAACAACAACAAAACAGAACAAGTGACCCCCAAGAGAAGACAAACAATTCACTGAACAAAGTTGTATCTAGTCTCTTTAGAGAGATTCAAGAATATGTTGCCCACAAAAAAACCTAACACTCCAGAAGAGATTTCTACGAAAAGCAGCAAGCAGAAAATGAGAGCTCTTGGAAACTTGGTATATGATTGGCAAAAGTTTAAAAATTCATTAAAAGTGCTGGAACAAGAGTCTAAATAATCTTAATCAAGCACATACAAAGTCACAGAGATTAAACATATATGTTAAAAGGTAAACTGAGGTACATTAAAATTTACGAAAGTTTATTTGGGCATACACAGATTTGAATTGGACAGCACCAAAATAAAAGTAGTTAGGAGCACTCCACGGTCAGAAGCTAGGGAAAAGACTTTTATAGAGAAGATGCGGAAGGAGAGCAAAGAAATTATTTGACTGGCTATAGCTTAAGCAGTTGCCTTATTTAGGAAAGCCTGGTTGGCTGTTCACAATGAGTTCTTAAGTTTCACGTCGTCATAGTCAAGTGCCTTGACTCTGGCTTAGGTTATGGTTTGCTTACATAGGCTCCCAGGGTATTAGAATTACCTCAGTCTAATGACCTCCTTGATTAATTAACACATATATACATGCATG